CAGGGTAGGAATGAATATACTTTGAATGAGATGTTCCTCCGTGCTGACTGAGACTGTCTTATGTTGTGAGAGTGAAGGTCGCTGTCCCAATATTTCCCATTCTCCTGCTCCACAATTATGCCAGTAATACACTTCCATACATGAAGATATGGGTGCAGCAAAGTGCCCATACGGGTTGTTGGAGATTTGGTGCAGCAAAGTGCCCATACGGGTTGTTGGAGATATAGTTGCAGCAAAGTGCCCATACGGGTTGTAGGAGATAAAGGTGCACCAAAGTGCCCATACGGGTTGTTGGAGATTTGGTGCAGCAAAGTGCCCATACGGGTTGTTGGAGATTTGGTGCAACAAAGTGCCCATACAGGTTGTTGTTTCATGTGCTAGTCACATGCAAGAAGTTGAAGGTTGTAGTTCAATGAGAGGCAGCCATATCCCTGCTTTGCTATGCATTTGTTATCATGTCATTCAAAGATTCTCTGCTAAAACCTTAGCTGGCCACATTCCAAGTGTGGATTGCTGAACTGATTTCAAACCATCTGTTCAACTTCCAGGATGTCAGTCAAACGTCACAAGAACTCCCACCCTGGCACAGGCACTCATGGGTATAAGGACACGTCACAAATATCTCCAACATGACACAGGCACTCATGGGTATAAGGACATGTCACAAATATCTCCAACATCTGGCATGATAAAACAAGCCTCACAGGTCACAGGCAACATCTGGCAATCAGACAGAAACCAAACTTAAACAAAGCAAAATGTTTATTAAAACAAAACAACAACACAAAAAGCACAAACTCTAATTTAAAAAAAAAAAATTAATATTAATTCTAATAATACAAGTCAGATCATTCTGATGGCAACAAAACAAATAATGATCATAGACCGGACTTTCATACCAGTCATGTTTTTGTGTGACCAGAACAACAGTATGTCATGAAGTATGTCATGACAGTGAAAATATGCCCCCTGTGTTGCAAGCAATCTGCTTCTGTGGTGTTGTTTCCCTTCACACCCTTTCAAAAGTGAAGACCTACAGAAAAGCATTGCATTGCAACAATCATTGAGGCTAATGCAAGCATCAGCCAGTCACAATCAACAATGTGGATCAACTCTGATCTTCTTGTAATCTTGTGTTCTGGGTAACTGATACTGTTGGTCCTGACTTCCTTGTTAATCTTTCTTATTATATCAAATCATTCTGGTTTCCTACAACTACATACTTGCTTCTTTCTTACATCCAATCAAATACTTCCTTGTCTCCGACAGCCAATCAAATACTTCCTTGTCTCCGACAGCCAATTAAATGCTTACTAGTTACTTATGTGCAACAAAGTATTTGTGTCTATCTAAGCCGATCAATCACTCAACAGACAACCAATCAAAATATACTACTGTAAGGGTATACCTACAATGAATTATATTAAATGGCTGCTTGTCTTTCACAGCCAATCAAAATCTAGTCATCTATCGACGATTGTTGTATCATCCAATCCCAGTGGTTTCTTAAAGCTATCAATACCCACTGACTATCACATTAATATCACTTCACATCAGACAAGTTTATGGCTGCCCAAATCTTCAAATTTCTATAACTGTGCCAACTGAAAAAAAAAGTGGGTTCACATTATCCTTGTGCCCGTTACAAATATCTAGTCAGGCAACTTTGTGTCTGACCTCAGCATTTCCCATCCTGAGGAAGATCACTGGGTCACCCATTTTACTGGGCTCAGTAGGTGTATCCAGCTATTTAACAATGTTATGTGTCTCTGCCTGGTCCAAAACAGACAAAACAGTGGCAGACATTGCTGATCAATTCATGTATATCTATCCATATCTTTGGCGGCAGCAACAGGGACTGCTTGTGACTGTCCATTATCTGAACAGATCAAATGGTGAATCAATGCACCAAACATCCATCAGAGAGCTAGTGGCCCATCCCATCATGAATCAATACACCAAACTTTCATCAGAGAGGTGTTAGCCCTTTCTGACTCCATTGATGTCAGACAAAACAATCCACACAAATATCTATGATAATGTGAACAAATGCACTGTTGAGTAAATGCCCAGGATCAGTGTCTCTGTGATCTGAGTAGAAGGAAGTAAGTCAGTCAGGCACAATTTTATGACATTGTCTCAGCTACATCTTACTATGTAAGCTTGGTGTAGGCATGAACTACTGGAACCATTTCAAACAGTCATCTCTGGAACCATTTCAAACAATCATGTCTGGAACCATTTCAAACAGTCATTCTGGAACCATTTCAAACAATCATGTCTGGAACCATTTCAAACAGTCATCTCTGGAACCATTTCAAACAGTCATTCTGGAACCATTTCAAACAGTCATCTCTGGAACCATTTCAAACAGTCATTCTGGAACCATTTCAAACAGTCATTCTGGAACCATTTCAAACAGTCATTCTGGAACCATTTCAAACAGTCATCTCTGGAACCATTTCAAACAGTCATTCTGGAACCATATCAAACAATCATGTCTGGAACCATTTCAAACAGTCGAGACTGGAACCATTTCAAACAATCATGTCTGGAACCATTTCAAACAGTCGAGACTGGAACCATTTCAAACAATCGAGACTGGAACCATTTTAAACAGCCATGTCTGGAACCATTTCAGAAAGCTGTAATACATTGGTACTGTTTGGGCATATTTTACCAATCATGCCTGGAACCATTTTAAATCATTATGTGTGTCACTATTTGAAACAGTCACGTCTGGAATCACTTCAAACAGTTATGGAGCTATGAAACTGAGTGGTCATGGGTGCACATCATGGATGTTCCAGTTACCTGATGATTACATGTTTCCTGGTTGCTTTTATATTAATCTACAGCTAGTGTGCCATTCGGCTCACTCCAACAACAAATACGGAATTCAGTAACCAAATTGCAGTATCTCCTCAAATCCACAGAATCAACATCTACAATCACCAAGCCAGAGAAACCACATCTCAGCAATTCATTAAAGAGCTAACTATAAATACTGAATCCAATCATCCAAAACTCAGCAATAACTACATTGAACTACTCAATCAATCCAATCATCCCAAACTCAGCAATAACTACATTGAACTACTCAATCAATCAAAGAATCAAAACTCCTGCTGTTCAACCATCTACAAGGACACATCTTCAAATGAAATCAAATTAGCACTTAGCTGAGATTACGACTAACTTAATTACTGATAAACGTTTTGAATAAGATGTAAGACGATTTCAACTCAAACTTTCAACAATCATAACAGACACTGATATTAACATCTCTGTGAAATCAAAGATACTAGTTACAAGAATTAAATTATTGAAGCTTTTATTTAACAACTTGTAATACTGTGAAACCAACATCTGACAACATAGGTATGTGGGGACAGTGACAGGTCAGCAACATAGGACAACAAAGGTGTGTGGGGACAGTAACAGGTCAGCAACATAAGACAACACAGGTGTGTGGGGACAGTGACAGGTCAGCAACATCAGACAACACAGGTGTGTGGGGACAGTGACATGTCAGCACCAACATCAGACAACACAGGTGTGTGGGGACAGTGACAGGTCAGCAACATCAGACAACACAGGTGTGTGGGGACAGTGACAGGTCAGCAACATCATCAGACAACACAGGTGTGTGGGGACAGTGACAGGTCAGCAACATCATCAGACAACACAGGTGTGTGGGGACAGTGACAGGTCAGCACCAACATCAGACAACACAGGTGTGTGGGGACAGTGACAGATCAGCAACATCAGACAACACAGGTGTGTGGGGACAGTGACATGTCAGCACCAACATCAGACAACACAGGTGTGTGGGGACAGTGACAGGTCAGCAACATCAGACAACACAGGTGTGTGGGGACAGTGACAGGTCAGCAACATCATCAGACAACACAGGTGTGTGGGGACAGTGACAGGTCAGCAACATCATAAGACAACACAGGTGTGTGGGGACAGTGACATGTCAGCACCAACATCAGACAAGTAAGGGTGTGGTGCATACCCACAACAAAGCACTATTTGGAGGAGGAAAGATATCTGCAGGACAAATATTATTGTGTGGATAATATAGGACTTTCAGCCAAAAATGGGTGCAGGACAAATGACATTATTGTGTGGATGATATAGGACTTTCAGCCAAATGTGGGTGCAGGACAAATGACATTATTGTGTGGATGATATAGGACTTTCAGCCAAATGTAGGTGCAGGACACATGACATTATTGTGTGGATGATATAGGACTTTCAGCCAAATGTAGGTGCAGGACACATGACATTATTGTGTGGATGATATAGGACTTTCAGCCAAATGTAGGTGCAGGACACATGACATTATTGTGTGGATGATATAGGACTTTCAGCCAAATGTGGGTGCAGGACAACAAGACAAATGCCATGTGTTGAGGAGAAGAGCACATCCACATGACTCAGAACATATAACTGATCTAGAAATTGCACATTGTCTATCAATGTGCTACTAGCTTATGGTAATGTGAATGTTTAAATGGTTCTAAAATGTCAGAAGTAAGTTAACACCGTTTATGAGAGATAACAAACACCATTTCACTACACTGAATAACATATGTAGCCTGGTGTAACATGACGTACACCATATATGAACACCTATTCCGTCTGTGAATTAGACCCACACTCAAAAATAAACAATATGAAATGAATGACCGACTGACTGTCTGAGAGAAAGTAACTGAACACGTCACAGACCCACACACAAACCAATATGAAATGCAGGCATGACTTATTGTCTGAGAGAAGGCAACTGAAAACATCAAATGACTATCTGCAAGAACAAATGTTGCAATTAGGCTAGTGTTCAGGTGTTATCAGCTAAACGACGGGAGGGCATGCTTGAATTAAAGTCATCGATACGGGTAAACGGGTAGGCCCATGAATTCTGTGGCCGTCACCAGAAGGGTGAACATGATTAACAGGCAAAGAATGTTTCCCAGCAGCTCACAGAGATGTCATACTGCCGATTGTCTGGGGTTGCTGCCGACAGCGACAAGGGCAGCAACTGTGATTGCCACCCGTGAGATGCCCTTCTCGTCAAAGATGTCTTGGGGTCCACAAAGTTGCTCCTGTGGAAAGCACATACAAATAGATTCATGTTAATGTCGCAGCAACACAACAACATCAGCTGGTATGCAGACAGAAAGAATCCGAATACCAACAACCAAAAAAAATTGATACTATAAATAGTGATAACCCGAAACTGATATCGCCATTATCTTTGATCCTGTTAGTGAAACACGTGTTTTAAACCAGACTGGAATAGGACAGTTTCTCACCAGGACAAGAAGTATGAGGACAATTTCCCACAAGGACAAGAAGTATGAGGACACTTTCCAACCAGGACAACAAGTATGAGGACAGTTTCTCACCAGGACAACAAGTGTGAGGACAGTTTCCCACAAGGACAACAAGTATGAGGACACTCTCCAACCAGGACAACAAGTGTGAGGACAGTTTCCCACAAGGACAACAAGTATGAGGACACTCTCCAACCAGGACAACAAGTATGAGGACAGTTTCTTACCAGGACAAGTATGAGGACAGTTTTCCACCAGGACAACAAGTATGAGGACAGTTTCCCACCAGGACAAGTATGAGGACAGTTTCCCACCAGGACAACAATTATGAGGACAGTTTCCCACCAGGACAACAAGTGTGAGGACAGTTTCCCACCAGGACAACAAGTGTGAGGACAGTTTCCCACCAGGACAACAAGTGTGGTGACAGTTTCCCATTAGGACAGCAAGTGTGGTGACAGTTTCATACAGGAAAGGAGGGGGGGGGGGGGGGGGGGGGGGGGGGGGGGACAGTTTCATACAATGACAGAAAGTTTGGGACAGTGACAAATCAACAACAAATACAACTAGTGTGAGGACAGTGACAAATCAACAACAAATACAACAAGTGTGAGGACAGTGACAAATCAACAACAAATACAACATGTGTGAGGACAGTGACAAATCAACAACAAATACAACAAGTGTGAGGACAGTGACAAATCAACAACAAATACAACTAGTGTGAGGACAGTGACAAATCAACAACAAATACAACAAGTGTGAGGACAGTGACAAATCAACAACAAATACAACAAGTGTGAGGACAGTGACAAATCAACAACAAATACAACAAGTGTGAGGACAGTGACAAATCAACAACAAATACAACAAGTGTGAGGACAGTGACAAATCAACAACAAATACAACTAGTGTGAGGACAGTGACAAATCAACAACAAATACAACATGTGTGAGGACAGTGACAAATCAACAACAAATACAACATGTGTGAGGACAGTGACAAATCAACAACAAATACAACTAGTGTGAGGACAGTGACAAATCAACAACAAATACAACAAGTGTGAGGACAGTGACAAATCAACAACAAATACAACAAGTGTGAGGACAGTGACAAATCAACAACAAATACAACAAGTGTGAGGACAGTGACAAATCAACAACAAATACAACATGTGTGAGGACAGTGACAAATCAACAACAAATACAACTAGTGTGAGGACAGTGACAAATCAACAACAAATACAACATGTGTGAGGATAGTGACAAATCAACAACAAATACAACATGTGTGAGGACAGTGACAAATCAACAACAAATACAACAAGTGTGAGGACAGTGACAAATCAACAACAAATACAACTAGTGTGAGGACAGTGACAAATCAACAACAAATACAACATGTGTGAGGACAGTGACAAATCAACAACAAATACAACAAGTGTGAGGACAGTGACAAATCAACAACAAATACAACAAGTGTGAGGATAGTGACAAATCAACAACAAATACAACAAGTGTGAGGACAGTGACAAATCAACAACGAATACAACTAGTGTGAGGACAGTGACAAATCAACAACAAATACAACATGTGTGAGGACAGTGACAAATCAACAACAAATACAACATGTGTGAGGACAGTGACAAATCAACAACAAATACAACAAGTGTGAGGACAGTGACAAATCAACAACAAATACAACAAGTGTGAGGATAGTGACAAATCAACAACAAATACAACATGTGTGAGGACAGTGACAAATCAACAACAAATACAACTAGTGTGAGGACAGTGACAAATCAACAACAAATACAACATGTGTGAGGATAGTGACAAATCAACAACAAATACAACTAGTGTGAGGACAGTGACAAATCAACAACAAATACAACAAGTGTGAGGACAGTGACAAATCAACAACAAATACAACATGTGTGAGGACAGTGACAAATCAACAACAAATACAACATGTGTGAGGACAGTGACAAATCAACAACAAATACAACATGTGTGAGGACAGTGACAAATCAACAACAAATACAACATGTGTGAGGACAGTGACAAATCAACAACAAATACAACATGTGTGAGGACAGTGACAAATCAACAACAAATACAACATGTGTGAGGACAGTGACAAATCAACAACAAATACAACAAGTGTGAGGACAGTGACAAATCAACAACAAATACAACAAGTGTGAGGACAGTGACAAATCAACAACAAATACAACATGTGTGAGGACAGTGACAAATCAACAACAAATACAACAAGTGTGAGGACAGTGACAAATCAACAACAAATACAACAAGTGTGAGGACAGTGACAAATCAACAACAAATACAACTAGTGTGAGGACAGTGACAAATCAACAACAAATACAACAAGTGTGAGGACAGTGACAAATCAACAACAAATACAACAAGTGTGAGGACAGTGACAAATCAACAACAAATACAACAAGTGTGAAGACAGCACCTGATCCACCCCAATCTTCCTACAAGCATCCAGGAAGTTGTCCACATTCCTCCTGCATTTGGCCAACGTTAACTTTGGCTGTAGACAAACAACAAGAAATGTCCATGTCAGGCCCCTGAAGCAGTAGGATAAACAAACTGTCAACTACTGACTGGTCAGTTTATGACAATCTGTCATCCTTACAGTGATTGGCTGTATGCTGTCATGTGTTCAGCAACACATACAGAAGATAATCTTCATTGTTGGGCTGATCAATATAACATCAAATCAATTATTATTTAGTTAACTGTTTACTAGTTTAGGAATCAAATGTTTAATAGTTTTCAAGTGTACGGTTTTATTATTAGTCAACTGTTGAAGTCTTCACTCAAAGCATTTGGGATGAATGACACCAATTGGGAGGCTGCCTCTCAAGACCGAAATGCATGGCGTGCAGCTCTACACAAGGGCACGGCTACATGTGAAGCCAACATAACAGCAAGACTGATTAAGAAAAGGATGGACAGAAAGGCGACTGCAGATGATTCCCCCCTCCCCCCCCCCCTTCTTTTTGGGCCCTCATCGGTCATCTTGGTACTCATACTTGTTGAAAAAGAGTGGTCATCATCCTCTGGATGGGCAAGACACCCACAGTTTAGCTATAGATTCTTCAACAGTGTATAACTGGTTCATGACTCTGGTTGTAGTATTTATGTGATTCTGTTGCAACCCATTCAATTTTCTAGTCACAATGAGAGATGTATTTAGTACTTCTTGGTTCATCAGAAGCACACTGTTGACCAGTTTACTAGAGTATCAGAAGTCAAGAATTTCACATGTCCCCAATCAATCAAATATTGAGCATGTCCCCAATCAATCAAATATTGAGCATGTCCCCAATCAATCAAATATTGAGCATGTCCCCAATCAATCAAATAATGAACTGAGCAGACAGTAGACACTTCTAGATCCTCTCTGATAACATAGCCTCCCTCAGTCCAGTGTTCAATTCTGTGTACTGAGTTTATACAGTTAATATCATGTTCAACCCTTCAGGGTTATATAAGGGACACAGGCAGTAGACTGTTACTTCAGATAATGAAGGGTCATCTGTGCTGTGTCAGATGTTTTAGACAATAGTATTATTTCTACTGTGCTACTGCATCAGGGCAGATTTGTTTCAATACTGACCGGGGCTCCTCCCATCAACTCACCCTCAAATGGATAATAAAATGGTGGGAAGTAAAGGTGGCTGTCCGGGTGTTTGTCACAGCAACTCCTAAGGGAAGTAAAGGTGGTCGGCAGGATGTTCACCACATCAATGACTGAGGGAAGTAAAGGTGGCTGGCAGTATGTTCATCACATCAATGACTGAGGGAAGTAAAGGTGGCTGGCAGTATGTTCATCACATCAATGACTGAGGGAAGTAAAGGTGGCTGGAAGGATGTTCATCACATCAATGACTGAGGGAAGTAAAGGTGGCTGGAAGGATGTTCATCACATCAATGACTGAGGGAAGTAAAGGTGGCTGGCAGTATGTTCATCACATGAATGACTGAGGGAAGTAAAGGTGGCTGGCAGTATGTTCATCACATCAATGACTGAGGAAAGTAAAGGTGGCCGCCAGGATGTTTAGAAATCATTCATTTATGGCACAGAAATCTGGGGTGTGGACCATCAAGTGGGGTCTGTGGACCATCAAGTGGGGTGTGCGGAACATCAAGTGGGGTGTGCTGACCATCAAGTGGGGTGAGCGGACCATCAAGTGGGGTGTGCGGACAATCAAGAGGGGTGTGCGGACCATCAAGTGGGGTGTGCGGACCATCAAGTGGGGTGTGCGGAACATCAAGTGGAGTCTGTGGACCATCAAGTGGGGTGTGCGGACCATCAAGTAAGGTGTGTGCGGAACATCAAGTGGGGTGTGCGGAACATCAAGTGGGGTGTGCGGACCATCTAGTGGGGTGTGCGGATCATCAAGTGGGGTGTGCGGACCATCAAGTGGGGTGTGCGGACCATCAAGTGGGGTGTGCGGACCATGTAGTGGGGTGTGCGGACCATCAAGTGGGGTGTGCGGACCATCTAGTGGGGTGTGCGGACCATCTAGTGGGGTGTGCGGACCATCAAGTGGGGTGTGCGGACCATCAAGTGGGGTGTGTGGAACATCAAGTGGGGTGTGCGGACCATCTAGTGGGATGTGCGGACCATCTAGTGGGGTGTGCGGACCATCTAGTGGGGTGTGCCGACCATCAAGTGGGGTGTGCGGACCATCAAGTGGGGTGTGCAGACCATCAAGTGGGGTCTGTGGACCATCTAGTGGGGTGTGCGGACTATAGTGGGGTCTGTGGACCATCAAGTGGGGTCTGTGGACCATCTAGTGGGGTGTGTGGACCATCAAGTAGGGTGTGCGGACCATCAAGTGGGGTCTGCGGACCATCTAGTGGGGTGTGTGGACCATCAAGTGGGGTGTGCGGACCATCTAGTGGGGTGTGCGGACCATCAAGTGGGGTGTGCGGAACATCAAGTGGGGTCTGTGGACCATCAAGTGGGGTGTGCGGACCATCAAGTGGGGTGTGCGGACCATCAAGTGGGTTGTGCGGACCATCAAGTGGGGTGTGCGGACCATCAAGTGGGGTGTGCGGACCATCAAGTGGGGTGTGCGGACCATCAAGTGGGGTGTGCGGACCATCAAGTGGGGTGTGCGGACCATCTAGTGGGGTGTGCGGACCATCAAGTGGGGTGTGCGGACCATCAAGTGGGGTGTGCGGACCATCAAGTGGGGTGTGCGGAACATCAAGTGGGGTCTGTGGACCATCAAGTGGGGTGTGCGGACCATCAAGTGGGGTGTGGGGACCATCAAGTGGGGTGTGGGGACCATCAAGTGGGGTGTGCGGACCATCAAGTGGGGTGTGCGGACCATCAAGTGGGGTGTGCGGACCATCAAGTGGGGTGTGCGGACCATCAAGTGGGGTCTGCGGACCATCTAGTGGGGTGTGCGGACTATCGTGGGGTCTGTGGACCATCTAGTGGGGTGTGTGGACCATCAAGTGGGGTCTGCGGACCATCAAGTGGGGTGTGCGGACCATCAAGTGGGGTGTGCGGACCATCAAGTGGGGTGTGTGGACCATCAAGTGGGGTGTGCGGACCATCAAGTGGGGTCTGTGGACCATTTAGTGGGGTGTGTGGACCATCAAGTGGGGTGTGCGGACCATCAAGTGGGGTCTGTGGACCATCAAGTGGGGTGTGCGGACCATCAAGTGGGGTCTGTGGACCATCAAGTGGGGTGTGCGGAACATCAAGTGGGGTCTGTGGACCATCTAGTGGGGTGTGCGGACCATCAAGTAAAACAGACTGGTGTAGCTTACATTTCTGCAACTTCTACCAGTATGTTTACGACATTTCAACAAGTGACGTGATGTCTTAGTGACATCAATGAATTTACTGAATGCACAGCTGAGCGGAATCTTAAAACGGAAAGGAAATGCCTATATACTAGATTTATAACAGCATAGACATACCACTGCAGGTGAGGGCACGTGAATGCTCCCAACTGACCGAGGTCGAACATGATTGGCCAGGTGGCAAAGTACAACACCATCTCTCAAAGCCTCTGCCAGATTGTCGGGTAATGTCACTCTAAGCCTCGACTCAACCATCTGCAACAAATATGATTTCTCTTGAATTTTCATAATTAAACAAACAGCCAACATCATCATCATCTGCATACAGGTGGGAATGAGGTAGCACTTCTGTTTAGAGGCATACTGCATGGTCCTAAGGTGTCTGTCCCTATTGCATCAATGATAAAGTCTCCATCTTTCAAAGTTTACTTTCCAATAAAAGACCAAGATAAGAGAGACATTCACCACACTATAACCCATACTTCTCACATCCATGAGATGTATGGATCAACAACATGTTGGACAGATGCTGGCAGGAACACATCACTGTTCAAAACCAGTTGACTATTTGAAATAATGTTGCAGGAACAGTTGTCTGCCACTTCTGCCATCTTCAGCAGCCAGCAAGGAGTTCCGATACTAATGGTGCCAGTAGCTTTTTGATTAAACGTCCGTCTTGCCTTTCCTCTGAGCCTCGAGCTTCTGCCAGAACCTCTCGTCACCCCCAACTGCATCAATCTCACCAGACTGTGGTGATCCATCTGCTCCTCCACATTGTACACGCTCTCCCACTAGGCACTAACCATGTCTGCTCTATCATGTAGCAGTATTCCACCAAGTTGTGCAGAGCCAGCCAGTCTGTCCGCCTGTTCATTTCCCAACACACCGGCGAGACCCGGTGAAAAAATTCAGACAATACTCCTCACTCATGTCTTCCGTAGCTAAGCATGCCACTCTGCACAAAGCATACCTGTTCTGATCTTCCTCAGCATGCTTTCTGAATCAGTTACAATTACAATGTGTGTGTGTGTCATGTTCTCTAGTCAGCGGAAAGCTGCAGTTACCGCCTCCACCTCCATTCTGGATGTTGTGGTATCATATGCTAGGCTCTCCTGCACCAAGCGTCGACCATTAACTTTTGCTAAAAAGCCCCAAGCACTTCTTTTGCCTCTTGACACTGAACTGTCTGTGTAAATGATCAAATCCTCTGTGCTAGCATTATCTTGAATTAATTGCTGAATTTCCACCTCTGTAGCACCTACTGGCCAGTCTCAGCATTCCCGGCTCAGCGTGATTATGACTCTACACAAGTCTGACTGTTCAGGTAGCACTTTGACCCACTCTTCTCCTAATGTTCTCAAGGATGCAAACCTGTCTGATTGTCTTCTGCCTGAGCCATCCATGACCTTCCTCTTATCAGCCGCTGACCCTTAACTGCACCCAGAGCTTCATGCAGAGGGTGGTCTGTGTCTGCAGCTACCCTGAGATATGACTTCGCCTGCATCACCTTGTGCCTACCTGCAACTGTCAGCAAACCAACGATGTATCGCATACACACCACTGGTGTCTATGGTGCAACCCAGAATGACCCGCATAGCTGCGTTCTGTATGCGCTCTAGTTTATCCATTCGACTCTGAGACGGTAAGCAGTCCCAGGCCATAATCCACCACTGACCGGATCAGGTGCTGATATAGTGTGAAAAGCATTCTCTGCTCTATGTCAATTACAGCCATAGTCTTAAGTGCACTAAGTCCTTTTTGGCATCTCGTCACAACACTCTCCACATGGTCCTTAAATGACAGGCTCCTGTCAAATGTAATTCCCAGATACTTCAGTTTGCTCTCTCTGTTGACGTCTGTACCATCTATCGTGAGACTTGGGACATTAGCTTTAACGATTCTGTTGTCCAGAGAACACCACAAAACAGACGCCTTTTCCGGGTGGACGACAGCCTTGACTTCTGTACACCACTCAGTCACTTTGTCCACTGTCGCTTGTAGCTCCCGGGCTGTTTGTTCCCTCTCTTCCCTCTGCCTTTATGCAAGTATATCATCCGCAAAAGTCAGTATCCTTCCAACTCCTGGTGCTTCTAGGCTTGCAATCTTGCTCGTATACTCTAACATTAAACACTTAAGACCTGAAGTGCACTGATGTTTTAACTCTAATGTTAAATACTAAGATTTGATGTATAACCTACGGATGTTTTAACTCTAATGTTGAACACTGTAAGACTTGAGGTGCTAACTACTGATGTTTTAACTCTAATGTTGAACACTGTAAGACTTGAGGTGCTGACTACTGATGTTTTAACTCTAATGTTGAACACTGTAAGACTTAAGGTGCTAACTACGGATGTTTTAACTCTAATGTTGAACACTGTAAGACTTGAGGTGCTGACTACTGATGTTTTAACTCTAATGTTGAACACTGTAAGACTTAAGGTGCTAACTACTGATGTTTTAACTCTAATGTTGAACACTGTAAGACTTAAGGTGCTGACTACTGATGTTTTAACTCTAATGTTGAACACTGTAAGACTTGAGGTGCTGACTACTGATGTTTTAACTCTAATGTTGAACACTGTAAGACTTAAGGTGCTAACTACTGATGTTTTAACTCTAATGTTGAACACTGTAAGACTTAAGGTGCTGACTACTGATGTTTTAACTCTAATGTTGAACACTGTAAGACTTAAGGTGCTAACTACTGATGTTTTAACTCTAATGTTAAACACTGTAAGACTTAAGGTGCTAACTACTGATGTTTTAACTCTAATGTTGAACACTGTAAGACTTAAGGTGCTAACTACTGATGTTTTAACTCTAATGTTGAACACTGTAAGACTTAAGGTGCTAACTACTGATGTTTTAACTCTAATGTTGAACACTGTAAGACTTAAGGTGCTAACTACTGATGTTTTAACTCTAATGTTGAACACTGTAAGACTTAAGGTGCTAACTACTGATGTTTTAACTCTAATGTTGAACACTGTAAGACTTGAGGTGCTAACTACTGATGTTTTAACTCTAATGTTGAACACTGTAAGACTTGAGGTGCTAACTACTGATGTTTTAACTCTAATGTTGAACACTGTAAGACTTGAGGTGCTAACTACTGATGTTTTAACTCTAATGTTGAACACTGTAAGACTTAAGGTGCTAACTACTGATGTTTTAACTCTAATGTTGAACACTGTAAGACTTGAGGTGCTAACTACTGATGTTTTAACTCTAATGTTGAACACTGTAAGACTTGAGGTGCTAACTACTGATGTTTTAACTCTAATGTTGAACACTGTAAGACTTAAGGTGCTGACTACTGATGTTTTAACTCTAATGTTGAACACTGTAAGACTTAAGGTGCTGACTACTGATGTTTTAACTCTAATGTTGAACACTGTAAGACTTAATGTGCTGACTGCTGATGTTTTAACTCTAATGTTGAACACTGTAAGACTTAAGGTGCTGACTGCTGATGTTTTAACTCTAATGTTGAACACTGTAAGACTTAAGGTGCTGACTGCTGATGTTTTAACTCTAATGTTGAACACTGTAAGACTTAAGGTGCTGACTACTGATGTTTTAACTCTAATGTTGAACACTGTAAGACTTAAGGTGCTGACTACTGATGTTTTAACTCTAATGTTGAACACTGTAAGACTTAAGGTGCTGACTACTGATGTTTTAACTCTAATGTTGAACACTGTAAGAATTAAGGTGCTGACTACTGATGTTTTAACTCTAATGTTGAACACTGTAAGACTTAAGGTGCTGACTACTGATGTTTTAACTCTAATGTTGAACACTGTAAGACTTAAGGTGCTGACTACTGATGTTTTAACTCTAATGTTGAACACTGTAAGACTTAAGGTGCTAACTACTGATGTTTTAACTCTAATGTTGAACACTGTAAGACTTAAGGTGCTAACTACTGATGTTTTAACTCTAATGTTGAACACTGTAAGACTTAAGGTGCTAACTACTGATGTTTTAACTCTAATGTTGAACACTGTAAGACTTAAGGTGCTAACTACTGATGTTTTAACTCTAATGTTGAACACTGTAAGACCTGAGGTGCTAACTACTGATGTTTTAACTCTAATGATGAACACTGTAAGACTTGAGGTGCTAACTACTGATGTTTTAACTCTAATGTTGAACACTGTAAGACTTGAGGTGCTAACTACTGATGTTTTAACTCTAATGTTGAACACTGTAAGACTTGAGGTGCTAACTACTGATGTTTTAACTCTAATGTTGAACACTGTAAGACTTGAGGTGCTGACTACTGATGTTTTAACTCTAATGTTGAACACTGTAAGACTTAAGGTGCTGACTACTGATGTTTTAACTCTAATGTTGAACACTGTAAGACTTAAGGTGCTGACTGCTGATGTTTTAACTCTAAAATTGAACACTGTAAGACTTAAGGTGCTGACTGCTGATGTTTTAACTCTAATGTTGAACACTGTAAGACTTAAGGTGCTGACTACTGATGTTTTAACTCTAATGTTGAACACTGTAAGACTTAAGGTGCTGACTACTGATGTTTTAACTCTAATGTTGAACACTGTAAGACTTAAGGTGCTGACTGCTGATGTTTTAACTCTAATGTTGAACACTGTAAGACTTGAGGTGCTGACTACTGATGTTTTAACTCTAATGTTGAACACTGTAAGACTTAAGGTGCTAACTACTGATGTTTTAACTCTAATGTTGAACACTGTAAGACTTAAGGTGCTGACTGCTGATGTTTTAACTCTAATGTTGAACACTGTAAGACTTTAAGTGTTAACTACTGATGCTAAACACTGAACAGTAAGAACTGACTCAGCTGGTACTGTTCAAAATAAGGTACTTGAAACAATCATCAACACTGCTGATACAATCATCAACACTGCTGAAACAATCATCGACACTGCTGAGACAATCATCAACACTGCTGATAACGTTACATAAAGGTCAGAGAAGAACAAACCTGTCGCAGTCTGTCCATCTGTTCAGCCTCTTCCTTTTCTTCCTTCTTGTGTATGCTAAAGTTTGAACTGGAGTCTTCCAGAGTTTTTGGACCACCTGTGTAGATAAGGGCACAGGTCATTCCAGAAATAACCACACTATCTTCCATCTCAATGTAAGTGTCCCATACATACAGTATTGATAGCTCTTGGAGGTAACATAACAGGTGACGGACCCCTTGCAGATGGCTGGAAGGTGATACACAAGGCTTTATTGTGGTGAGAGGGGGGCGGGTGTCGTAGGCAACTGTACGTAGTAGCAGCATGTTTTTTTGTCTCATGCTCATGTTTGTTTCAATGCTACTTTGTCTACTGCACACAAAGAAACTTTCTAACGAGTACCAGCGATTGTTATGTTCTCTAAAACCATCTAAGTCACATAGGGCCCATAATCTCCTCCTCCACTGCCTTGTATCCTCTGCAATCCTCTCAGTGCAGCAACTGAGTGGCTTCTCTGGTCAACAGTGTGGCTGGAGAGTAATATAGATCTGTATCAGATCCACTGTGCAAGCCCCTGACCCACACACTGGAGATGGCATGATGACACTGATACAAACCTCTCTACACCAACCTTACAGAGAAAGAAGAAAGCCTTTTAAGAGCAGACATAACCTAAATGATCCTGAAAAAAGTCAGAACACAAGATTCTACAGCAGTGTGTCCCCTTTGATAGATGTCTGGTGCAGAAGTTGGAGGTTCCTGTGTAACAAATCTAAGGTTATTTTGCTTACAAATGTTGTTTTTTTTAAACATAATAATTTAAAAGAACTTAGCTTTAGAATCAAAGTTTTTGAGTGATTCAAATATTTATAAATTAGAACAATTTCTTCAATATAACTGTTGAAAAGTATGGGATCTATGGTGGATATCTGGAAATAAGATGAGTCAGTTAACTGGAAACCAGTGTTCTAGATTTACCAACCAGCCAAGCCATCATCCTAACAATCATCTATCAAACCAAGTCAACATCCTAGCAATCATCTATCAAACCATGCCAACATCCTAGCAATCATCTATCAAACCAAGTCAACATCCTAGCAAACATCTATCAAACCAAGCCAACATCCTTCCAAACATCTATCAAACCAAGCCAACATCCTAGCAATCATCTATCAAACCAAGCCAACATCCTAGCCATCATCTATCAAACCAAGCCAACATCCTAGCCATCATCTATCAAACCAAGCCAACATCCTAGCAATCATCTATCAAACCAAGTCAACATCCTACCAAACCATGTCAACATCCTAGCAAACATCTATCAAACCAAGCCAACATCCTTCCAAACATCTATCAAACCAAGCCAACATCCTAGCAATCATCTATCAAACCAAGCCAACATCCTAGCCATCATCTATCAAACCAAGCCAACATCCTAGCAATCATCTATCAAACCAAGCCAACATCCTAGCAATCATCTATCAAACCAAGTCAACATCCTAGCCATCATCTATCAAACCAAGCCAACATCCTAGCAATCATCTATCAAACCAAGCCAACATCCTAGCCACCACCATCTATCAAACCAAGCAACCATCTAGCAACACAGATGACCAGAATAAACAAACACAGTAAGTTGTGTAAAACGTACACTGTATATTGAAGACAATCAAACACAATGAAACTATCTACAGCCACACACCTATACCTGGCCGGCCCCTGCTCAAGCCGTAGATGTTGGTGCTAGTCGGAGGTCTAGTGTTGATCCGCTTGTTGGTGTCTACAGTTTCTGCTGGATGATCAGACTTCTGCTGCATCTGCCACACACACACAAAAATCACATACAGTTGATTATTGTCAAGTTGCAATCAATTATTAGCAACTGATTTAATGACATCTAATGATTGTCTGTCTTTGTCTGACATTGCTGAGCTGCTGGAAGTGTGTGCAAGTGGTACTTCATTCATCGGTGTCAGCATCACAATTCAGTAACTTCTGTATCAAACAGATGTTTCACCTTATGCTCAATCAATAAGACCCACCTTACAATATGACATACTTATTTACAACAATTATGTTTTTTCCTCCTTGGCAATCTGAAAAGCTAATTAACAACCATTTTATGCGAAAGTGAAATCAAATGACAGGACCTTATCCTTGCTTAGAGGCATGTTGGGAATTCTGTGCTAGCCAAACATTTTTTCTTAACCCTCCAAGAGATTATTAGGTTAGGTTAGGTTAGTTGCATATGCTTTACAGTAGTTTGCCATTGCTTTCTGGACAGTCAGCTTTCTTGATACCACTGTCGAAACCAACACAAGGCGCATGGCCCGCAGCTGCGATCGAACCCGACATCCTGGCATTACGAAGCGTTTGCATCGACTTAGCCACAGAGCCGACTCCAAGAGATTAGGACATTCATAAAAATTGGTCCAAGAAAGATGGTATCATAACAAATTTTCTCCCTAAGACTCTCTTCCTCGCCTCTCTAGAGAGTCTGTCATATTCAGACTAAGGACAAGGCACTTGGCCAACCTATGTTCACATTTTTGGGTGTATATAGACATACAAATGCAGCCTGACACCATAAAATACTGAGAATGTGCTCAAACACTCTCAACTGTAAATTGCGCAAAGAAGGGGGGAAAACAATACATGAGGGCAGCGGCGCTTACCAGACAACCAGGTCAAGAAAACCGCTGCTTCTAGAGCTTTAGCGTGGGTATCCCAGCAAACCACAACACAGGCAGTAATTGTCTCAGACTCCATGAATATGCTTCAGAAGATAGCAACAAGCAGTATGCGCTCTGAATGGATAGAAAGCATTCGGAAATCGCACTTAACCTCCGTAACCTGGATCTACACACTGGTTCATGCGGGCGTAAAGGGAAATGAGCGAGGAGACCAACTGGCAAGCATTGCACTAATGATTGCGGAAAATAGTATGGACAGAGCAGATATCGTCAACGCACGGGCTGGGCTAGTGGATAATCAGGAATCCCTGACACTGGCACGATTGCGTGACATGTGAGTTAAGCATGGTGATGCACGTCTTTGCCGTCTTCGGGGCCGAGAAAGGAGACGATATAACCAGCTTCTCATGGGGACAATTAGTAGAAGTACTTTGGAGTGGCTGTTGCTTCGGAGAACTGAGCATGCATGGGTAGTGACATCAAGTGTGATAACAAAAAATAAAATAACATCTTGTAGGGAGTCGGCAGTCCAAGTTCAAGGTGTCTCCTTCGTGCCAAAGAACTGCATGGCTGTTGGGTGAACAGTCGTTAACGAAGGCAGGCAGGTCGTTGTGAGGGCGACGCCTGCTGGTGGATGTAATGTCCTAAGTCCCTTCCCCAGCTAATAATGAGGGTACTGCTGGGGTGACCATTTATTAACCCTCATATAATGCTTCAGGTCAAAATGGACGCTAGGCACGGCCACCTTTTTTTTTTTCCTGCCAGACAGTGGCCGTTGCATTTTTGCTCCATTTGTAGACTGGAAGGATATAGTTTCATCGCCCAGCTTCTGTGCATGGCATGACACTGTGAGCTACGTGTATTTTTCGTTGGCACAGGAGCAGAGCAAACTATGGGGTGACCCGTTTGCTATGAAGCTGAAACTAGGATTATCAGATTACAAGCTTCAGCAACTGTGGTGTGTCAGCAGTAACCACCCATCTCACATTTGGGACAGAAGCTTCAGCAACTGTGGTGTGTCAGTAGTAACCACCCATGTATGGGACACAAGCTTGAGCAACTGTGGTGTGTCAGCAGCAGTCACCCATGTATGGGACACAAGCTTGAGCAACTGTGGTGTGTCAGCAGCAGCCACCCATGTATGGGACACAAGCTTGAGCAACTGTGGTATGTCAGCAGTAACCACCCATCTCACATTTGGGACACAAGCTTGAGCAACTGTGGTGTGTCAGTAGTAACCACCCATCTCATGTATGGAACACAAGCTTGAGCAACTGTGGTGTGTCAGTAGTAACCACCCATCTCACATTTGGGGCACAAGCTTGAACAACTGTGGTGTGTCAGCAGTAACCACCCATCTCATGTATGGGATAGAAGCTTGAGCAACTGTGGTGTGTCAGTAGTAACCACCCATCTCATGTATGGGACACAAGCTTGAGCAACTGTGGTGTGTCAGTAGTAACCATCCATCTCACATTTGGGACACAAGCTTGAGCAACTGTGGTGTGTCAGCATAACCACCCATCTCATGTATGGGACAGAAGCTTGAGCAACTGTGGTGTGTCAGCAGTAACCACCCATCTCATGTTTGGGACACAAGCTTGAGCAACTGTGGTATGTCTAGTGTTTGACCAACCTTGCCAGCAGAACTGTGCAGAAGTGTTCCCTTCTTGTTCTGCTCCTCGTGGTGAGCCTTCAGTCGGGAAGTCTCTGCTGGTGCCACAGTTGGTCCCTTCCTGGGCTTGGGCTCATCATCCTGCAGAAACCAGATTATATCGTGTAAGCATTTCAGTGAAAACATGACACATAAACAAACAAATATATGTTTAACTTAAACAACTTATGTTTCTACAAATTCTGTCTTCTCCTCCATTCTAAAAAAAAAAAATTTATATATATATATATACACACACACATATGATATATACATACCCACACACAGAGAGAAATAAACATGAACCTACAACAGTACTTCTGTTACTACAAATTTTCTCTACCACTCTCCAAGAAAACATAACCTACAACCGTGCTGCTGTTACTACAAATTCTCTCTCCCTCTCTCCAAGAAAACATAACCTACAACCGTGCTGCTGTTGCTGCTCCTCCTCAGATTGGATGGCGCTGATGTCAGCCCTGACCCCTGTGCTCTGAGACCAGCTGGTGCCACCGTCCTAGTGGACCTGGCAGTTACAGGACTTGCTGTGTTGGACCTGCAGTGAGAAAACATCACATAGCTGAACAAGTCATCTCTTCAAGTAACAAACATACAGGTAGTTATTGTGCAACTTCAATATTTCTCTGGCACAGACAGATGGCTGCTTACAGTCACAAGTACAATTACAAATCCTGCCTGCGGACGTCTCATCCTCCTGAGTCTGCTGTCTGATGATTCCACCAACAGGTAAGTCTCATGATGAGCCTGACTGTGGTTAGAAGTCTCATGATGAGCCTGACTGTGGTTAGAGTTCTACTTTAGCTCCATACAATGAAGGGCCTAGTACTGACACTGGGTCTGTTCTTGCCTTTCTTCCCCCCTAAATTAGGGGTCCCAGGTCCAACAAAGGCAGCACAGAGAGCAATTCCACACAACATATTTAACAATGTCTTCATGGTTCAGCAGTAACTGGCACAAACAGTATACATTTCTTTGTTCATTTGAAAATCCTGTCTTCAAATGAGACACACAATCTGATACTCACACTGACATTATAGCATGTCTGTTATGCTTCTGATTATCTAAAAGAGGGATTTGTACTCTTGGTACATTCGTCTATCTTACTGTGTTATTTACTTTCTTGTTCTTTCGTTGTTTCTACTCTGTGTATTTATCATTGTTGTATTCAGTTGGCCACATTGTTGTAGTCAGAATACCACAGACAAAGAAGAAAAGAAATACTGACATTTTAAAAGATCTGAACATCAAGGAAGATTGGCTAACAAACAGCATCTTGTTCCTGAAGCTGAAATGTTTTGGCCACATCAATCACCACAGCTGACTGCAAAAGAAAATAGCAGAAGGCTCCAAGAGTGGATTTAACGCCTCCCTACCAAGCGTGTCATGAGTCAACTAGCTGGGGATTTCCTTTGGAGTCAGAACGCATCTGCTTGAGAGTTCTGGATCCTACAGTCTGCACACAAATAAGCCAGATCTCTAAAACAGATGTACATGTAAAAAACTCAAGTGCTGGAACAAGACAAGTCTAGAAGTTGACAAACTTTCAGCCAGTGACAACCGGTGAGCGGGAAGAGGAAGAACTGAGACAGTTATGTGTTCTAGTGTACAACCGGTGAGCGGGAAGAGGAAGAACTGAGACAGTTATGTGTTCTAGTGTACAACCGGTGAGCGGGAAGAGGAAGAACTGAGACAGTTATGTGTTCTAGTGTACAACCGGTGAGCGGGAAGAGGAAGAACTGAGACAGTTATGTGTTCTAGTGTACAACCGGTAAGCGGGAAGAGGAAGAACTGAGACAGTTATGTGTTCTAGTGTACAACCGGTGAGCGGGAAGAGGAAGAACTGAGACAGTTATGTGTTCTAGTGTACAACCGGTGAGCGAGAAGAAGAAGAACTGAGACTCTTATGTGTTCTAGTGTACAACCGGTGAGCGAGAAGAAGAAGAACTGAGACTCTTATGTGTTCTACTGGGAATTTAAAGAACAACAAAAATGTATTGAATGCCTAAATCTACACAGCCCAAAAAGGGAGCAGGAAAGGTTCTCTGAGATACGAAGGCAAACAGGAAGCAACAAGCAAAATGACTGTACATAAAATCCATGACAAATTCTGCAGCTGAAGTTTCAAAGTGTCATGTGCCAACATTCTGATGTTTTATCTCTTGAGTACAAAGGGTGACAACACTGAAAGCCTGGTGACTTCTATATTGAGTATCATGTTAAGTGGCCCACAGTAGCCGACAGACACCTGCAACCAGCTGGTTGAAGTCACATGTTACAGAAATAAGCTGCAGAACATGTCTTCGCACTGTACAGTCAAGCCAGTGAGTGTGTATGTATGTATGTATGTATGTATGTATGTATGTATGTATGTATGTATGTATGTATGTATGTGTGTATGTATGTATGTATGTGTGTGTGTGTGTGTGTGTGTGTGTGTGTGTGTGTGTGTGTGTGTGTGTGTGTGTGTGTGTGTGTGTGTGTGTGTGTGTGTGTGTGTGTGTGTGTGTGTGTGTGTGTGGGGGGGGTAGAGTTAATAAAGCAATTAAAAAAATTTTTAAAAACTGCGGTGACTATAAATTCTCTGCTCTTCTGTCCTCAAACAAACTTTTACATACAAATGTGCTATCTCGACTACAAATTCTCTCTCTCTAACAAACGTGAGTCTGTGAGTGAGAGACAGAGAGGGTGTCTGTCTGTGTAAAACACTAATACATGTCACAAACCATCTAGTGACACCACTGTAACTGTTTCAATAATAGGTATGGCTTACTGGGGACACTTGTCGGGATTTAGGTTAACTCCACTGCTTTGGCATTTATATCATATTCAGTTGCAAAAGAGACTTTGTATCAACTGTAATCAGGAGGATGGTGTTGGGATGATTGTCTCAAGCACTGTGGCAAAGTATCACCTCAGTCTAGGCATTGTTGCAGAGCTCTCCTTCTCTGTCAAAGTCTGTGTGTTTTTTTAAGCTGCCCCTCCACTGACTAAACCCAAAACTCCTCTAGATAGAAATGGACATCCATGCCACCTGCAAGTCACTCTTACCTCAAAACATTTGACAGACTGTACTCACGCAGACACGTCGAAACTATTAAACTGCCAGAATGTAATGCACTATGTGAGCAAACACCAGCAATCTGGGACACCACATAAAGTGACTCAACAAGGAAGAAAAGAGAAAGGTGAAAGATCCTGCCAGCTTAGCAATTTTGGAAGCAATTCTGTTAAAAACAAGATGCTAGAAAATCAAAAATGCCAGGAACCAAAGGAAAATGAATTGTTTCAAACAAAGAGCACCATGAAACAAAACAGAAATCAATGCTGATGGAAAATGCTTGAGTACCAGAGTATATCCCCAACTCATCTGTACCTTTTAGCTGCAGCATGTCAGCTACAAGTTGCCAACAAATGCTAGACACATGTCAAACATTCAACAATGCATTTCCATTTTTGTTTTATTACAGTTCATATGTCTTCTATGTCATTACTCATCACTGAAATAAACTGTGAAGCAAAACTCAAATTACTGAGTATATCAGATGGATTTTCTCTGACCTCAAGTGGTCAGAAGTGTATCTTGGTCAGAAGTGTATCTTGGTCAAAAGTGTATCTCACATGTGAGAATGCATAGCATTTGTTGTGTGGATGTTATGTTAGAATGATTTACAACTATTGCACGGCATTTTGTTTGTATGAAATCAGAGGGTGAAATTTGACTTTTTTTTTTTTTTTTTTAAATGATTATATACAAGAATATCAAATGCAGGAAAAAAAAAAGGTGAAATTTTAATTCCTCAAAATATAATGTAAATTTCCACTGCCAAAACTAATGGTAGAAAAATGCTCACAAAATGAAAATGATGTAAATGAAAAGATCCCAAAGCAAAACTTGTACCCACAATAAGATTGTCTGACCCACAATAAGATTGTCTGACCCACAATAAGATTGTCTGACCCACAATAAGATTGTCTGACCCACAATAAGATTGTCTGACCCACAATAAGAATGTCTGACCCACAAAACAAAACTGTTATGGACATTAATTTCAGTGAGATGATCATTCTTTAAAATCTGAATGGCCAAGGTTGTCCATATATACAGCACAAACACACAAAACAATAACAGTAAGTTACTGCTAATGGTTCCCCTGTGAATCAAACAATTCACTTGGCTGTACGTCTGAAACAACAAACACAGATGATATGACTGGCAGGGAGTCACATATTTTTTCTTGTTCTTCTTGGCATTCACCAGCTGTGAACACTGGCAGAAAGTTCTGGTGGTTCGTCTGCTTCTTGACTTTAGTCCTGATCCAAAATCTGAGGGCTGTGTGCACATGTTTTTCAGATGTGGCTTAGTTGTATGCAGACTGTTGGTTCCTGACCTGTGAGGCAAATCAACTCTGACACTGGGGGGGCAAACACTCCTCATTTTGTGACAGGCTTGTGAGGAGGCAGTGGGTTTAGTTCCCCCCCCCCCTCCCCCCTCACCAAAGGGGCCTCAGAACACGCACCAGGAACCTATCTCTCTCACAGGAACCTCAACAAACACACTTGGAGCTAAGTTATTCTGTTCCTCTTGCACATTTAATGTGAGAGAATGTTGGTTAGCTTTGCTTTTCCACCAAGCCATACTTTCATTACATACAGGTCAGGCAGCCTCATCCAAGGCAACCAACCACAACATCAACTATCCCTGCAGTGGCAGGTCAAGTGTCGCAGCTCACTCAAGGGCAACTAATCTCACTGATATCTGTACACAAGAAGACACCAACAAGGGGAAGATAACACATCCAACACGTGCAGCATATACTTTTATCTGTACAAATATGCTTTAGCTTTAGAGACAATTAGGTTGAGTACCTGTCCCCAGCCAGTTTTGTTTTCCGCACCGCCTGGCTCTGGGCTGGGCCTGCCGGTCCATTGGCGGCTCGCGGGACAGCCGATTTGGTTCCTGTGGGCTTGACCAGATGTGATGTGGACCCGCTGGGGCTGATGGGCTTGGCCAAATGGGAGGTGGAGCTGCTGGGACTGTTGGGTTTGGCCAGGTGGGACACCGAGTTTCTGGGGCTGGGACTGGGTGACACTGAGGGAGTAGTGGAGGCACTGGACTGGCGAGAGTTCTCAAGCACACCACTGAAAATGACACAAAGTGCATGTGTGAGGAATTTCTCAGTATTTCACTTATGACACTGGGTACTGCAAGTGCTATTAGACACACTGCACATTATACTTGTCACAACCTGTCTTTTTAAATTTACTGATTACATATTCACATACTTTTTATGTTACTTGGTTAAATCTCTGTGCCCTGTTAACTATATATGTTACATCTCTATGCCTTGTTAACTATACATGTTTCATCTCTATGCATCGATAGGTACCTATGTATATTATGTTAACAATATATGCTAAAGTTAGATGTTCTGCTAACTATTCTGGAGACATCACCAACTATGCCACATCATATGTAGCTAAACAGGTTACATTGTTGCCATCACAACTACTACTGTAACTGTATGAAGCAATAACACAAATCCCAGGTTTACAACTCGTCTTCAGTCCTCAGTTTCAACCCAGTCTGCTTACAAAAAAGCCAGGTCTGCAAACATGGATATACACGCACAACTCATGTTCTGGGACACTATCAAAGTCAGGACAGAACTTTCCTCTGGAGTTTACAGAAAAAGTAGAATTACAAACTTGATATTAAGTGTTTTTTGTTGTTGTTAAAACACATGGAATTGTTTATCTTTATAAGTGCCCACAGACAGTCTTGGGGCAATTAATCTAGCAGCTGTCCCCTGTCCTCAACAAACTATGTATACCGCACCGCTGTCAGAGTGTGACAAACTCCAGATGACTGTGAACTAACACTGAGACTGGGTGCCATCTAGAAGAGGTCTAGCTTGGGGAGTTTCTACCCCAGGATGGGCTGACAACAACAACAATCTGTCAGCAGCTATGCATCCGTTCATACAAAGACTAAACTGTGATAAACCTGAATGTTCTGACTGAATGTACATGTCCTCTGATGTTCTCAGAGAAAACCCTAGTTCATGATGCCGGCTATTCATGTTCTACTGCCATTTTTCTATGCTTTAGTTTCTTCTTTTAATTCCCCACCTTCTCCAGCTAACTCTGGCAGAAAGTTATGCCTGTCTGTCTGCTTCTTGACTTTGATCTTGATCCCGTACTTGAGTTTTTCAGACACATTCATTTGAGTAATCTGGCTTATTTTTATGCAGGCTGTTGGTTTCTCACCTCTTAAGTGTACACTACTAACTTGGAAGGAAATTAGCAGTCTCCTGCAACATACTTCTTAGGGGGCAGTGTGTCCATTCTTTTTCACCCTAACATGGGGGCCGGCCCCTGAACACACATGGGCCGGCCCCAGAACCCACATGGGGCCAGCCCCTTAACCCACATGGGGAACGCTTGACTTGAAACCAAAACTGTACACACTGACTCAATATCATTTCTCTGCTAACTGAAGCAGCTTCAGGGCTGTTTCACTGCAGTATGGCACAAACACTGTGATCAAATGTAACAGGCAAACTTTACTGACTGCAGCCCAAAATATGAGTTGTGTCATGTAACATAGCATAGCTAATCAGTTCTGCCAAAAGTATACATTGGTAAAAGTCATGCATGTGGTTGATGGCACAGTGCTGGGTCAGCCAGCCCACGGACAAGCAGTGATCATGTATGCAGTGACCACTAGAGTACAGTGAATGCACAAAACATTGGCTAGAGCAAACACGCACACTCACACAGTGCTGCACATACTACAGGTCACCAGTGCAAACACACAGGAAATGTCACAAACACATGTCACTCAGTTCACAGGAAATGTCACAAACACATGTCACTCAGTTCACAGGAAAGTTGTCAAAAACACAAGAGAAAAAACTCCACAGGCAGAAGTCTACAACACTAAAGCTTCAGCCGGACCCACCCATGGCTGAATCACCAATAATCACCAGATCAACTCTCTGCTGCAGAGACATGGCAGCCTCAGTGATGCAGTAACTAGAACACTTATCTGCAGGCTCAGTGGTCACAGGTTCAAATCCTCATATTTGCAGTTTTTTCACAACTGAACTGATCAATAATGGGTAGAAGGAAATGTACTGGAGGGGGAAAGGGAAGGGGGGGGGGGGGGGGGGAGGTGAAAGTCGTAGTCAAGATTCTGTCTCTGACCACCTGACCAATCAAGTGTCAATCAGACTACAAATATGTGGCTAGCATCATATGCCCATCAATCAAGGTGTGGAAATAACCCTAACATTTATTTATTATTACAGTGAAACACATCAACTGAAACACTGGTTCCCCCCCCCCCTCCCCCCCACAACTGTTGTAGCTTTGAAGTTACCATCTTGAGATTTGTTTTAAACTCTCGTCTAGTGATGTGTTTAAGAGATGCACAGTTAATGCTACCGGCTGTGTTTGTACCACCACAAACATTCAGGAAGTCAGGATATGAATATATTACCTACAAAACTACAAAGAGCATTTAATGGGGCTTTTCCTGTGAATTAAATGCTTTTTTGTTTGTTTTAAAGCCAAGTTGACTCCAAATGTTTGTGTAAGCTCACGAGTCACCTGATACATATTGTTTTAGGCCCCAGTATTATATTTAATGCTTCACTCGGCTCACGTTTATTAACTGCTTCTTCTACATAAGTTTGCATGTTGGAAAAAACCTGCAGACATATAACCTTACCAACACACATACAAAACTATCAGTGACCTGTGTAAAACAGTTCTGGTTTTTTTTATTAAAGATATTTTTCGGGTATTCCCAAGGCGTCGTGACCCAGTTTTTCTAGTGTTACCTGATAAAACAATTAATACCTAGGTAGGTGAAAAATCAGTAGATGCATTCCCAGTAGGTGTGTACCCAGTAGGTGTGTACCCAGTAGGTGAGTACCCAGTAGGTGAGTACCCAGTAGGTGTGTACCCAGTAGGTGAGTACCCAGTAGGTGTGTACCCAGTAGGTGTGTACCCAGTAGGTGTGTACCCAGTAGGTGTGTACCCAGTAGGTGAGTACCCAGTAGGTGTGTACCCAGTAGGTGTGTACCCATTAGGTGTGTACCCAGTAGGTGTGTACCCAGTAGGTGAGTACCCAGTTGGTGCGTACCCAGTAGGTGCGTACCCAGTAGGTGCGTACCCAGTAGGTGCGTACCCAGTTGGATGCGTACCCAGTTGAATGCTAACCCAGTAGGTGCGTACCCAGTTGAATGCTTACCCAGTAGGTGCGTACCCAGTTGAATGCTTACCCAGTAGGTGCGTACCCAGTTGGATGCTTACCCAGTAGGTGCGTACCCAGTAGGTGCGTACCCAGTAGGTGCGTACCCAGTAGGTACACATCCAGTAGAGATCTTCCTATACTGAGATGCACACAATCAGCTATGTACTAGCAAAAACAGACTAAGCATGGAGGAGATTTCTTTAACTCTAGAATCACAAACATATGATTCATTTTTGAAACGCTAGCATGTTATTATAAAAAATCTTTTACTAGAAAACAAACGCAAAAATGAAAAGATCTGATAGAACATCTCAACCTGTCTAACAAAGATCTGTAGATCAAGCAGTGTCTGATAGAACATCTCAACCTGTCTAACAAAGATCTGTAGATCAAGCAGTGTCTGATAGAACATCTACACCTGTCTAACAAAGATCTGTAGATCAAGCAGTGTCTGAGAGAACATCTCCACCTTTCTAACAAAGATCTGTAGCAGTGTCTGACAGAACATCTCCACCTTTCTAACAAAGATCTGTAGATCAAGCAGTGTCTGAGAGAACATCTCCACCTGTCTAACAAAGATCTGTAGATCAAGCAGTGTCTGACAGAACATCTCCACCTTTCTAACAAAGATCTGTAGGTCAAGCAGTGTCTGAGAGAACATCTCCACCTGTCTAAAGGTTATTCTCACTTTCTGTGGATACAGTTTAAGCCTTCCACTTGAGCAGTCTGTGGGCTGGCAGTCTGGCCAGGCTTCTTGAGCGTGTCTGAGGCAGCCCTCCTGTACTGTATGCTGTTGGTCAGCTTGCGTGGCTCCTTGAAGCTCTGTGAACTCAGGCTGCTGTTTCTGTAAGATGTGGAGGGGAGTGGGCCATTGAAAAACTGCATGTCTATGTCTGACGATACATCAAGCTTCAGCAGAGCTGACAACCACAAGTCAGTGAGTCCTGGACTCGGTCTATACCCAGTACACCATCATCCATAGATCAGGTGTTATATTTACAATCACTCATTTACAATTTCCGGGACATGGCTCAATAGAGAACATTACAAGTGGAGTGAGATTTCAATGTAAAAGACAATGAAGGGATTGCAAGTCAGGGATTTACTGATCAAAGCTGCTGGATGGGGTTACCTTGATATAGGCTGAGTCCATTGTTGTACCAAGATTACTGAAACAATTCACAAACTAACTTCATAAAATTCACAAGAACAAGTCAACAAATACTTCAAGTGTTTCAATAAAGAAAGTAACATACAATAATATGTTATCAATTAAAATATTACACACCTGGTGCACTTTTTAAAAATTTTAATCTAAAAAAAAATTTTTATTCCCAGCTGTCTGGGCATTTTTAACATGGGCAATGAGCACGAGACCTCTCCTATTTTGTGTGCTTTTCTAAGAATGCCATAGACTGCCATATCTAGAAACATACATATATTCATCAGCTGTTGTGTTGTTCCATGATAGTTATCAACAATGTAACCATGCAGAATCATGTGTTAGATTCAATACATGTGCACATACAGTGCTCAGAAACAATGACTACTGGAGTTGAAGGATGACAGTCACCTGAAGCAGCAAATGTTAAAATGAGAACCCAAGTCCATGGCATGCAGGTTAGAGTTCACATCAGACGGTAATAATCAAGCAAGCTACGTTGGCCAAGCATATTCCATATGTAAACTAGCGTATCACAGCCATACTCTATATGTAAATTTGTACAATCAAGCTATATTTGATATCTGAGCTAATTATCAAAGACACACTCAAAAAGGGAATCTAGTCAATACAACAAACAATTGATAAGGGAGTCAATTTAATAAATATTTTTTGTTATAAGTAAACCAGTAAATCAAAGATATACACAAACAAACA